CACAATATGTAAATAATGGAAATATCTGTCTGCTGCCAAAATACAATAACATTATTTTCGCATGTTTTACTTAGAGTTTAATTAGAACTTCCGTGTTATCATTCAGGTTCCTATAGAAACTTTGTTTATCTATAACAAGAAATAATTATCAACATTCCGTCAGTATCATTACCATTAACGCCATTTTTTTATAAAATTAGATTCGAAAATTCTTTTTTGATATAATTTTTAAAATATTAGGCATTAAATATAATGAATGATAAAAACAATACAAGAAAACTAATCTGATATCAAATGAATCATTTTTTATATAATTTTTGTCGAATTATGAATGTTAAGTGCTATAAAAAATACATAGTGTGAAAATATAACGTTGTTAGGATATATACCATATTCATAAATATAAAATTATTTACAGAATTTTTAAAATAATTTAAGTTTTTTTCATAAATATAAAGAATTGTAAATTTTAATAAATTCTAGTACGAGTTTTGTTGCTATGTCGAAAGATCACGCACTATTGCAAAATTTATTCTGCATTATTTACTTTAAGAAAAACCGATATATTTAATTATAAATTCCTTTATTTACTTTAATTACTCGTGGCATTCGGATAGAATTCTTTTGTATATATATATATATATATTGTTTACAAGATAATTGTAACTTATAAGCTTACAAGTTAAATACAAATTTTAAATCGATAGTTTCGTTTATGTAATAATTTCGAAGTTATGAATTACTAATTAAATAATTTGCATAATTTTAAATTCTTTATATTCTATTAAATAATCTATTAAATAAAAGGTTGATAAATTTTAGTAAATAATGCTAAAAATTTTATGATTTTATGAATTTTTTTATTCTTCTTTCATTCAATAATTCTCAAAAAACAAACTTAAATTATATTTATGTTATTTTTACTAATTATATATTGTATATAAATACGCCTATTTGACACAAAATAATTTTATTTTTAATGTTTTATATACAATTATTAAAAGTTTAATTTGATGACTATTTGAAAAAATAATATACCTATAAGATTAGATGAAAGTCAAGATAGGATATGGAAAGCTTAGGGGCATATGGCCCAGATTAACTATATCCAAACTTCCGGTCTGGACCAGAAATCACGTGATTTTAATTAAAAAATTTCCCCAGAAAGGAGTTACATAGATGACCTGCATGACTCAGTTGTTATGAGGAAAAGTATGATTTACAGGGGCAAGACATAACTAATTTGAGATCGAGAGCATATATTTTAAATTAAATAAACTTTCAGATAAGTAATGGTATAAAAATATAATCAAGAATTCTATAATCATAATTATGCTTTACAAATAAATTAGGTTATCGATGTAGTAGGAAACAGTTTAATGCAGGTAGAAAAGTACACCAAATGACAAATAATCACGCTAAATATTAATTATTCAAAATATTTAAATACAAATAACAAATATATCCTAATTTTCGGAAATTTTATCGTAAACGATAATAAAATATTTAAATATAAACCTTTTTTCACTGAAAAGAAATGATCAATTAGAATATATATTTTTTGATTCGAATGGCCATTTTAATTTTTAAAAACTAATAAATATAATTCACGGAACTAAACGAGTGATTCCGAATTATATACAAGGAGAAACGCAATTCTTTTTTAAAGTTTAAATTATCGTTGAACTGAATTTTCAGAAATAAATCAATAAAACACAATTTATATTATAATAGGGAATAAATTATGTCTTATGGGCATAACAAAGAAACATGTAAAACTTTTCAAATTTTTAGAATAATTATTCAATTCTAAATATTATCATTTCTTCATTTTATTCAATTTTATGTGGAATAGATATAGAGTAATACTCTATTATCTGTCAGGAATCGGGAGCGTGATAAGAATAGACGGATAATAGAATTCCTCCTACCAGCACATAAAATTTATTTACAAGCCACAATTAATACACAATCTTATACGTACAGTACAGTATAGTCGACCAAGTTTATTTACTGTACAGTGCTGAAATAGAGGGTTGGATACAGTAAAATTCATTAAAATAAAGTGCAATATGTGCCGTACATCATTATATCAATAGCCAAAAGTTTAAAAAAAAATTATAGTAACTCTGACTTCTCAAACTGAATTTAATACTATGACGGTTAAAAAGTTTCGGATAATCGAGTTTTTACCGTATATTAAGATTTATACTCGAACTTTAATTAATTAAAATTAATATTATATTTTTGTATTAATAAATATGAATAATAAATATATTATATTTTAAAAAATATGTAAATAACTAATTCTATACCTTGTTTAATACATTAAAAATAAATTGAATTTCAATCGTGCTAGGAAACAAAATAGAATAAACATATGATAAAAATACAATAAATACTGACATAGTAGTTAAATAAAGAAATTTATTTCGTTTTAAATACAAAAAAAAATAATTTTATCACAGATAGTAGCGTGATAAAATAGCATTATTAAAACTTTTATCCCGTTATGAAAGTCTGATATTTCCGTCATATTCTTTATATTCGTTCGCACTTACTATAAAATTTCCCTTTGTAATAGCTTTAATTTGTCGCGTTTAACTTTTCAATTAGAAATTGTGGATGAACTTAACAATAGAATTTTTTTTTATGTATTTAATTAATTTAGTTAGAGGATTAAATTGATATATAATTAGACATACTTGTCAATATTACATCAACTCCCTTCCAGTTTTGATAAGTTACAATGGAGGATCAAACATCTCTATTGGAATATTTCCTTCTCAGAAAAATATTCAATGGTTTTTATTGGAAAAATGCCAATAGTAGATAGAAACAGTACTTTTTTTTTTAGTCACGTTTGGCCTACCACTATTCACCTGGCAGATGTCGAGTAAAGTGAAGGTGAAGCCCACTTCATCTCATTCGTGACGTAATACATGATCTAAGGAATATACTTTTTGATCATGTACTCAATCCTATCTTCTCATTGATTAAGAGATGCTAAATTTAATATTATTCTGGTAAAATTACGAATGATACAGAAAGAATTGTAAAGTTTAGATATATAAAACAAGAATTACGTTACACAGAAATGTCTAAAGTAATTTAAAGTATAAAGATTAATTTATTAAGTCCGTAATGGATGTGATTTTAATAATTCTTCGTATATATACTAATACATTAAAGATAATTTATGTTAGAATAATATGGAGTTAAAGATATATGCGTACATATTTTTTAAAGCTTAAAAATTATTTTTGTCTATCGCGTGATATTTTAACTTCATCAATATTGAACTTGATAAACCCTGTACAAGCGTTACAATAGATTCAATTTTAAATAGAAAAAATTCAAATTTTAATTCTACTTAATTCTGTCTTTTCATTATTCTCCAAAATGTTTTATTTGCACGCAATCTCTTTGCATTTATTAAATTCATTAAATACTTGTCGCTGTTTTGTATATATTATCAATTACAGTACACCATCATTAAATACTCTGTTTTATTGTTAGAAATTTAATTTTTTTTTGTAAATAATCTGAATGCCTGAAATTATTTAGAGGAAACATTAACATATTCTATTATAACTAGCGTGTTTTTAAAATAAATAACAATAAATATTTATTTTATTTTAATATTCTTATTTTATGCACACGAGTTTTTAAAACATTAAATTTCGGAATTATAAGAATATTTTTTAAGTATATATTACTAAAATTTTATATATTTTAATCTTACTAGATGAATACATATACACGCAAAATTCTCCAAAGTATATATTTTAATCAATCTATAAATATATTTAGAATAATCTGCAGCAGTGAATTCACATTAATGATAAAGCTAACAGAAAAAACAGGAAGATATATTCCTTACACGCAAGTAGGCTCAAAACAGGTTGTATTACATTGATTGAACATAGAAAATCTCTTGAGATTTTCACCAGTTAATCTCCATTTATTCCAATGGTGTTTAATGCTCTTAAATTCATCTTAATTCCAATATAAGGCCTATTAACTATACTATAAAAATTCGACTTTTTTTCTAATCAGTAAAATTGCCACGATTAAAACGAATCGTGATACAATTCCGTTTAAATCTTATGTATTTATTATTTATAATTTCGTGCAAATCCTTATGATATAAATAAATTATCAATTCATTACTTTAAAATATTTCTGACGTTTAAAAAAATGTCAGAGCTTAGCTTAAAAAAAGAAGATCAAAATCTGAAATTTTCAATATAAATAACATAAAAATGCACTTTTGTTTAACTTTGCATTTTGTATTCATTTACGTTGTATGTTGATTACTATTATTATTATTTTTTTTTTATTAATGTTCAGTTATATAATTCGTGTAATAAATCATATATTTTTTAAAAAGTAAATTCTATTGAACCATGTATGTGAAATTCCTTTAAAAATAAAGTGAAAAGACGTGTTTATGAACTTAATTCCGCATTTTGTTCGCATGCAATCTGTTTCCGATTTTTTACTTGTCAGCAAAAACGAAAAAAAAAATTTTATATATGATTAATCAAACGTACGCTAATGTCGAGTACCTCCAACCAATTCAACATCAATAGATTTACATATCAATACCTTATAAACATCTAAAAAAAAAAAACTTTTCCACGTCAAAAAAGATATAGAATTATACATTTTACAAAATCCTCCCGAGTAACTGCTAACAAAGAACTCAATATATAGAGTAAATAGGTAACTTTTTTTATGGATTTAATTATAATTGGACGAGACTTAATGAACTTGTTAACTTATTAAAATTAGTTACGCTAATAATAAATATTTTAAAATATGAGTATAAACTATTAATCGCTACATTTAAACGGTTTTTTACTTCATAAATATCTAACAGCAGCGACTAACTACACGTGAAAATTTAAGCGGAACTTAACAAAGCGCTTAAGAAGTTAATAAATTTTATTTGAATTCATTAATTTAATTTTTAAGATGTAAATTAAATCAATTACCTTTCCGTAGGATAGTTGTCAGTAGACATATTTCCTGAACCAGTCTAGTTTGTCCATATAAGCATTCCCTTTGGTTACCGTGGTGATAGCGTATGGGTGGGGCATGTGCAACTGCGACTCTTTGCTTATTGTATAGGCTGTACTGTACTGATAGAATAACTTTCCGTTACTTGAAGAAGTTATACATCATATATTTTATTGCCTGTAATTAATTTACATTGATTTTTCGAAGATTTAGAATCTATTTCTACTGTATCTAAATGCAATTTAGAATATAGTTTAGTACGTATGAATATCTTAACAGTGTCTGTCAGTATATTAAAAATCATATCTCGAAGATTGTTATGGAAATTTATGTGGTTATTGCCACTTATCTTCGATCGTACTTTGTAATTAAGAACAGTCTATTTTCCTGTCCTAAACAGTTGTTGAGTCTCATGAATCGGATAGATGTATAACTTGTTATTATATTCGAAAGTTTGTTTTAATTTGATTTTCGTACGTTTTTATTTTATAATAAATAATTAATGCTATACAAATGATAAATTTAAACACTACACTATCTAAAATAAGTGTTAATTAATAGGTCTATCGGATTTTATTGAGCTGCAATTTGAAAAAAAAAATGTAGA